ACTTTTATGTTTTTAACTTGTACTATATTCAACTGCATTGAATTTTTAAGAGTTTAAAGGGTTGTCGGGGTAAAGTTGAATGAAGGAGTGTTTCATACCCATTAAGCGGTGGTATAAATATTTTTTTACCCAATATAACATAACTCATTTGTTGTAAAAAAACAAATTTTAATAATTTTGTCATAAAAAAACTGTAAATTGTTATCTTTTATTTATATTGTATTTATAATTTTATTTATTTTGTATTGAATAATTTAATTTATGACTCCCAACTTCGCTCCCTGTTATTCCTTTCTTGATGATCACAACCACCCTTTAAATATTGACGAGCCACCATCGCCACCAATTCTCTTGAATCTCCATCTTACTCTCTCGACACACACACTTCTTCTTCTTCCACTCTTGTTGCTCCTCCATCCAGCTATCGGTCTCTTCCTATTGCCCTTTACAATCTCTAAAGAGTCAGCATCACTTTGCAACTGATGTTGTCAATGATGATGTCATTACTCATCATCAAAATATGAATGTCCTGTTTGTTATGCCAATCTATACTCATCCTATGGCCACTAGGCTAAAACGTAGTATTAAGAAACCCATTCAATGCCTAAATCTACACATTGACTCTAAGTCTAATATTCCTCGTACTTATAAGCTTTTGAAGATCCAAACTGGCTTAAAATAATGCAATAAGAATATACGACTCTAATGGAAAGCAACACATGGAGCTTGTTCCTCATCCTATAACTCTGAATATTATTAATTACATATGGCTTTTTAAAAGAATATAAATGCGGATGGAACTCTTTCTCGCTATAAGGCATGTCTAGTTTCAAATGGACATAGTCAGCAACCTAACATTGATTGTGATGAGACTTTCAACCTAGTAGTTAAACCCACAACCATACGTACCATGTTGAGCATCGTCACCACTCACAAGTGGCATATTCGTCCATAATTGGAAATGAGTTCTCCATGTCGGATCTTAGTGATCTTCAATATTTTTAGGGTATCTCTTCCACTAGAACTACTACATCTACTATTGTTGACTTGTCTACTAAGTTTGATGGTTCAGGTCAAGCTACTCAAGATCCTACTCTATATTGAAGTCTGGAAGGTACCCTTCAGTACCTCACATTCACCAGACCTGACATTGATAATGCAGTTCAACAGATCTGTCTTTACACACATGATCCTCGTGAGCCTTACTACATATCTTTTAAGCGCATTTTATGCTATGTTCTCGGTATATCTAGTCATGGTCATCAATTTTTAGCTCGCACTTACGGGACCTTATTTCCTACTCGGATGCAAAATGGGTTGGCTAGCGTGTCACTCGACGTTCTATTTCTGGCTATTGTGTTTTTTTGAGACACAATCTTCTTTCCTGGTCTTCAAAATGCCAACACAATATTTCTAGCTCTACTATCTACATTAGCTAGCCGATATGTGGCCCTTGGCCCATATTTATATGTATTGTCTTTGTATCTAGATAGTTAACTCATATGTGTCCCTTGGCCCATTGATGTAATGCATGAGACTTTATCACAATTATAGATCCGTCTCAAACTTTCCAACTTAATGATGCTCTATTTCACACTTGTTGATCTCCATTTCGTGCTCATTATCGTATTCTTAGAATGCGATTTAAAAGAAATCATTATTTTACTTTCTTTTTAATGTAAAATAAGAAATCATAAATTGAATGAGAAAGAAAAAATCTTCATGACTCTCTTTTCTTCTATGATAATTAAGATTTTGGTTATGTATATAAAATTTAATGTGTTATTGTAGAACTTTTTTGTATATAAGTACATTTGATCTAAACTTAATCTAAATATTATAAACGATAATATATTTATTTAAATATAAATAGATTTTATATAAACTTAATCTCTATTTATATGAATAATCTTTATAGTTTATATATATATATATATATATATATATATATATATATATATATAAAAGCTTAGGTTATTCTATTCAAAGTAATTATTGTATTATTGTATACATAAATGTATGCATATTGTATTCACTTTCTTAATTTACCAAAAATTTTCTAATTAGGAAACATAATTTTAATTAACAAAAAGTTTCGAATTTTCAGAGATATTTGATTTTCTTAATTTTGAATTTTGATTTTTTTTTAACTAATTAGATTATAATTCTAAGATAATTCTATTAGAATGATATTTTATGAGAATGTCATAGTATCTATTCTGACAAAATAAATGTTTTGAATGAAAGAATATTTTGAAGACAAACAATAGTTTTGAACCATCAGTTTAAAGATAACATGATTCTTACATTGAATGTAAATATAGATTCATACATATTCTTATAGAGTAATAGTCTTGTACAATTTAATACAAGTACAAATATTCTACTAGAATGTCATAAAAAATAAATAATGATTTTAAAAAGCATAGAATTCTTAAATATAGAATTCTTGAACGAATGCACTTGATCATTTTATTATGGACTATTCTGCCAGAATATATTGATGAATAGTGCTTGCTTTTGTGAAGACAATTGAGCATTATTCATCTTCATCTTATGCGCCATCATCCAACGTTCATGCCCTTGATCAACATGTCTCGTTCAGACATTTTATGAGAATAACTGCTATGAAATTGAGCATTTTATAAGAATAACTACCATGAAATTGTATGACAATCCTTAAAACCAAATTTACAAATTACAAGCATAAACTTCCAAATTGATGAATATATATTTTTTAAATAAAAAATAGCAACGTATCTGATTTGACAATTAGGCCTTATGAAGAATGCTTATTAGTTATTATTATAGTTGCAAATCAAAACTCATAATAGGGCTTGAATAACAAGTGATTATTGTGGTTACAAAAATTATAAAAGAAAAAGAAAAAGCTTTTCATTTAATAAATAGGTAACATTCAGTTTCTCAATTTACCAAAAATTTTCTAATTAAGAAACATAATTTTAATTAATAAAAATTTTCGAATTTTTAGACATATTTGATTTTATTAATTTTGAATTTTGATTTTTTTTAACTAATTAGATTATAATTCTAAGATAATTATATTAAAATTATGTTTTATGAGAATGTCATAGTATCTATTCTGACAAAATAAATGTTTTGAATGAAAGAATATTTTGAAGACAAACAATAGGTTTGAGCCATCTGTGTAAAGATAACATGATTCTTACATTGAATGTAAATATAGATTCATACATATTCTTATAGAGTAGTAGTCTTGTACAATTGAATACAATTACAAATATTCTACTAGAATGTCATAAAAAATAAATAAAGATTTTAAAAAGCATAGAATTCTTAAATATGGAATTCTTGAATGAATGCACTTGATCATTTTATTATGGACTATTCTGCCAGAATATATCGCTGAATAGTGCTTGCTTTTGTGAAGGCAACTGAGCATTATTCATCTTCATCTCACACACCATCATCCAACGTTCATGCCCTTGTTCAACATGTCTTCTTCACGCATTCTATAAGAATAACTGCTATGAAATTGAGTATTTTATAAGAATAACTACCATGGAATTGTATGACAATCCTTAAAACTAAATATACAAATTACAAGCAAAAACTTCCAAAATGATGAATATATTTGTTTTAAATAATAAAATAGCAACGTATCTGATTTGACAATTAGGCCTTATGAAGAATTCTTATTAGTTATTATTATAGTTGCAAATCAAAACTCATAATAGGAGTTGAATAACAAGTGATTATTGTGGTTAAAAAAAATTAAAAAAGAAAAAGAAAAAGTTTTCCATTTAATAAATAGGTAACATTCACTTTCTCAATTTACCAAAAATTTTCTAATTAGGAAACATAATTTTAATTAATAAAAAGTTTCGAATTTTTAGGCATATTTGATTTTCTTAATTTTGAATTTTGATTTTTTTAACTAATTAGATTATAATTCTAAGATAATTCTTTTAGAATGATATTTTATGAGAATGTCATAGTATCTATTCTGACAAAATAAATGTTTTGAATGAAAGAATATTTTGAAGACAAACAATAGTTTTGAACCATCAGTTTAAAGATAACATGATTCTTACATTGAATGTAAATATAGATTCATACATATTCTTATGGAGTAATAGTTTCTTATAGAGTAATAGTCTTGTACAATTTAATACAATTACAAATATTCTACTAGAATGTCATAAAAAATAAATAAAGATTTTAAAAAGCATAGAATTCTTAAATATAGAATTATTGAACGAATGCGCTTGATCATTTTATTATGGACTATTCTGCCAAAATATATCGATGAATAGTGCTTGCTTTTGTGAAGACAACTGAGCATTATTCATCTTCATCTCACGCGCCATCATCCAACGTTCATGCCCTTGATCAACATGTCTCCTTCACGCATTCTATGAGAATAACTGCTATGAAAGTGAGCATTTTATAAGAATAATTACCATGAAATTGTATGTCAATCCTTAAAACCAAATTTACAAATTAGAAGCAAAAACTTCCAAAATGATGAATATATTTGTTTTAAATAATAAAATAGCAACGTATCTAATTTGACAATTAGGCCTTATGAAGAATGCTTATTAGTTATTATTATAGTTGCAAATCAAAACTCATAATATATTTTCAAAATGCAAAATCCTAAATACACCTTACTGTAATTTAAATGAATATTTTATGTTTATAAAACAAGTGAAGATAATAGGACTTGAATAACTGTCATGAAATTGAATTATATAAGACTAAAACTATGTGAGAATTCTTGTATACGACAAAAATAAAACAAAATTTAGTAATTCCTAGTGAACTTATACTACATGTTAAAATCAAGTAACACAACTAATGAACTCATAAATTATTTTTGTGTTCTTCAAGAATTTGAACATCTAGTTGTCTTTCAGACATTTCTACAAACACCTGGTGTGCAATATTCTTATAGAATTATTTTTGTGTTCTTTAAGATTTCTTAACCCGATCATTCTTCTTTACTTCCTCAACAAATGAAAACCACACCAATTGTCTTTGTTCTTTCAGCATTCCAGCAAATATACACGAGATACAAAAAGCATAAGAATGAAATCGAGGAAGTGAATTACAGGACTTACATAGTGACATTTTCTCTCCCACGAAGTTTGACAAGAGTTCCAGATCTGGGAGACATGAGAGGACAAGCAGAGAGCTCATCGGGGCCTATGATCTTACCCAGCTACCACGAACCATTCTGCCTCCGAACCCAAACGCTGGTCCCGACACCGATGAGGAGGAGAGAACACAACTTCCGGTGTTGCGAGGGCAGCGATATGTTACCAGATTTGGGTGGGATGGGGTGTGAAGCAGGAGCAGCGATGAGGAGAATAGGGTCAAATGGAGGTGCAAGAACGGTCGGCAGATGGTGTGCGACACCGACGGAGGAGTGACAACAACTTCCAATGGTCCGACAGTAGTGCTAAGTTATCGGTTGGATGGACAGGTGAGTGAAGCAGGAGCCTTCAAAGGATTTTAGGATCTGCGTCTTGAACGAATTTGAAGGGATTTATAGGAAAGCAATCCAATATTTTAAGGATTAATTAAAATTTTATTTCGTTAAGAAAAATAGTTAACTGCTTAGATTACATATCCTTATTTAAGTTTTTGAAATGATTAGCCAATACTAATGCATACAATAACACAAGAATTAGTTTTAATACTTGAACCATAATTAACCACGTAGCAAAGGAACCAATCTTTTTTGAACATTTAAAGCATATCAAATTCGATAAAAAGAATATCGTCAAATTCACAGTGTGAATCTGTGCAGATTATAGTGTGAATCTGAATTTACATGGTGAACTCGAAAAATATATAATTTACTTTTTAGCATTCACAATGTGAAGTTATTAATTTAGAATTTTTTTTTCTTTTGATAAACAATAAGCTCTAAAACTTAAAAAAAACATGGTTTCTTGGAGAACCAATAATTATGGTTTTCTATTGAACTTTTTTTTGATATATATATATATATATATATGTATGTATATATATATATATATATATATATATATATATATATATATGTATGTATGTATGTATGTATATATATATATATATATATATATATATATATATATATATATATATATATATAAAACACCCTAATTTCCTAGATGCAGAAGTTGAGAATTTCATTCACATTATAGGACCTACTCTTCAAGTTGGTTGGTCCTAACTCATCATGTAGGAGTTGATCTACACACGCGAGATACAAAACCTACTCGTCGAGTTGGAGAGTTGGACTCAATGAGTTAAAGCTGTTTAGAGAAAGCCCTAATTATTTAGGTTTACACCCTATTTAAAGGACTTTAACTCCTTTACCCCACCTCCCTCATCACCGTATCACATCCAGAGAGAAACCCTAGTCAGCTAGCTTATATTTTGAGTGTGTGAAGCCAAAGTGTGCATTCTTGGAGGAAGCTTCAAGAATGAAGAGCTTGGAACAAGATGCAGTATTTAGATCCATCATTCATTAAGTTGTAGCATCCATTTAGAGTTAAAAAGTCCTTTCCTTGGGTTGCCATTTCTTAGATCTCCTCTTGTGTGAGTTTATGGGCATTTTGGTACAAAATGAGGGCCATTTTCGTGTTGATCTTGTCAAAGGGGGAGTAGTTGCAGATCTGGACTCCTCTAAGCTCTCATGTACATAAAGTCTCAAGCATTATGAAGCTTTGACACTTATTCATGTCCTAAACCCCCTCTTGAGCATAACCTGGGTACTCTAGCCTTGTGAGACCTTGCCTGATCGTGAGTTAGCAACTTTACATGGAAACTCCATTCTAGTAGGATAGATCTAGAGTTTGCTGCACTGGAATCGACTTAAATGAGAATTGGCTAGAGAACTCGATGAGATGGACATCCAACTCGTCAAGTTGAGAGGGTTTTTCCCATATGTGGATTTAAAGTGAACTCGATGAGGTATGGGGATAACTCATCGAGTAGTTGGGGGTCTTCCCGGTCTTGTGGATACTATGCTGACTTAATGAGTTAGTGAGACAACTCGGCGAGTTGACATGATTTTTCCTAAGAACATAGGGAGCTCGACAAGTCAGATAGATGAACTCGATGAGTTAGGTCAACATCGATTGTCGACTCAAGTGTTGACTTCCGTTAAATTTTAGGGTTTCGTCAAGACATGAATTGTGAAGACCATGGAAGGGTAAAATGGTCTTTCACCTTTTCCGTGAGTTAGGAAAGCGGCCAGACTAACGTTTTAGACTTGTGATTATAATTGTTAATTAGAGATGATTATATTATGTAGGAGAAGTCTAGACTGTTCGTGGGGTACTAGATCTACTTGCTTACTTATGAGGCGAGTCTTCTCACTATACCTACTTAAGCGGTAATACTGTGTGATCGGAGGGTCTTATTTGAGTTTTTGACCTGAGGGTCCTATGTGCTTATACTGAGTTATGTGATATTATGCATTTCATCTTTTTGATATATGCTATACTATGATGTGCCTTATTGTGTTAGGACAGGAGGGTCCAAACTGAGTTGTGAGACCGGAGGGTCTTCACTGAGATACAGGACTGGAGGCCCAACCCGAGCTGTGAGATCGGAGGGTCCAAAACCCGAGCTGTGAGACCGTAGGGTCCACAACGAGCAGTGAGACCGGAGGGTCCTCACCGAGACACATGACCGGAGGGTCCATACCGAGCTACTTCCATGAGAGGCGTATTATTTGTGTATGTGGTATTTTGGAGAACTGCCTAAGCATCGTGTTTACTGTGTTTTGTGATATATTTTTCAGGTACTTCTTAGGATCGTGGGAAGGCACCGACTTGATTGTACACACCGGTTAGAGATCATGATTTTGAGGATTTTGGGTGATTATCAAACATTGTTGACATGTGTTTTACAAATTATACATTTTGTATTTTTGGGAAATGTGATAATGAGTTTATGTGATTTTAAAATGAAAATTTTATTTGAGAATTTACAGTGTTACAAGTTGGTATCAGAGCCTTTCTTAAGGGATTCGGATATACCCTCGTGTATGTCTAGAATCAAACTGAGGATTTAAGAAAAAATAAATTCTAAAAAGAAATGATTTTCTAAAAAAAAGTAAGAGCTTTCAAGAGAAAACGAGATGGAGCAGTGTGTACAATCAGCCAGATCCTGAATGGTGATTTACCAAAATACCATTACTTATTTGTATTATGAGATACTTATGAGATATTAGAGTGGCATGTTGGATGATAGGCTAGGTTTTCAGGAATTTAGAGCTAGAGTTGCCTGATTCATGATGCCTTATCCTAGGGGATGCTATTGATTGATATTATTTGTTATTTACTCTATGTATGTGTTGAGTAGGAGTACCTAGATGGAATTTTTTAGAGAGAGCTTTGATTAGAGGAGTAATCTAGGAGAGATGCCTAGATCAACATTTAAGGAATCTACTGAGTGAAGTTAGATACCCACGAGAGGTAGGATTGCCTATGTTCGGTGATGCCTTTTGAGTTGTGGATAGAGCGAGTGGAGTTGTATGCTATAGTGGTTTTATGTGCTGGTGGAGGTTATTCGATGCCCGAATGCTACTTGCTTTGTGCTTTGTGGAACTCTCGATCATGGGAGTCAGTTGCTAAGTGAATATGACGATATTCAGGAGGCAGATGGTTGGCATCATGAGGAGTTCTTCAGTAGCTGATGGCAGAGATGTGTGAGAACCTAGTAAGTGAGTTTAGTCAGATGAGTAAGCTATTTAGAGATGAGTATTTGCTGGAGAGCAGATATGTGTAATGGGATTGGTGATCAAGAAGGTTGAGCAGCTACTTAGGAATCTGGTACGATCCATATGGAAAGTATGGGTAGATGTGGCAGGTAGTATGGGCCCATACTACTGAAAGAAAAGGACCCATACTTGAAATAGGGACAATTATGGAGGTTCTAAACAGAAAATTGAGGGGAGTTAACATGGTTCGGGTACCATGATTCGTAGCAGATTGTGTTTCTGCCATTACCAGTTATCCCACTATGGTTGTTCAGACAGAGAGTGGATATGGTTGATTGTGGGGCCAGAGATCCATGTCGGTCGAGCTTCAATGGACTGTACCTTGTGAGGAAAATGGAATTTATATCCGAGGGATTTGACTAGTGAGGTGCCAGCTGGAGTCGCAGTGATTCAGAAATAGTGGAGATGATGTTTTGTGTAGGATTTCAGTCTGGATTAAGTGGTCGGCCAATGGTTGAATTGACACTTTTTGTGACGAGGATTACAATATTTCCGCTCCCATGTGGAACAAAAGAGATATCGAGCTTCAAGTTTAAGAGTTTGGAGGTAAACCTCGTGGGGTATCCTATAGTTGTGATATTTCCACCAGAGTATTTTGTTGCGAGGTATTTCTTATACAGTGAGAGAGTCATCAGTGGGGACTGAGATGGATGAGGACAAGGGTATGCGTTAGTTGAGTATAGTAAGGCATTTTTTAGCAGTAGTTCCAGGTAGTCAAGAGGAGTATATCGTGGTAATGGCCCTCGTTGCTTCTACTGTATATCGTCTGTGAGAGTGAGGTCTCTTGCTTCTTTGACAACTCACATGATGAAATGTTGGTTGAGGAATCGAGGATGGGGTGTGGGTGATAGTTCATTATTTTAGCATGAGAGTCATAACTAATTTGGGACAGTCGATATGTCCGATGAGGAGATAGTATGAGATTTTGGGGTGACTAGAGGCAGTCACATTGGGAGGATTCCCAGGTTTTCACCTGATATTCACGATACCTAGAGTTATTAGGTCATTATTTGGAGGGCCATCGAGTGTTGTGTGTACGTTCCATGAGTCGGGAATGGTATATCTGGTGAGCCAGTCTGTAGTGAGGTCTGTTGGTATGTCAATGGATGATGGTTCGAACCCAAAGTGGTGGAGAACTGGGTATCCTGTGCGGAGGATCCTCAGTTTGGCGTGGTACAGAAGTTTGGGTTATGAGGATATGTGGTCCGAATATATGAGGATGGGGTCATGTGGTAGTTAAGGGAATGTACACAACAAGATGATTGATGTCGCATATGATCAGGAGAAAATAAATGTCTTCACGGTGGGTGGCCGTTGGACAGGAATATGATTGCAGTCGGTGTTTCTTCGGGTGTGCCAATGTTTGAGTTTCAAGGTAGTTGGGTTGCCGAGGCCAAGATTCGATTGTGGAGAGACTGATAGTTCAACGTATAGATTGTTATTTGTACTCCGGGAAGGGCATCAGTTGATTTTTCAGTCAACTTCAGCCGGTATGAGTAGTTTCGCTTGGGTTTTGATCAGTAAAGTATGGGGTTTCGGATTGTCATCAATGCGTTATCAATCATTGACGATTGCTCTGTGTTTCAAATTATGTGATGGTGTATCAGGGTATTATGAGGTTTGGGTTTGTTACATGGAAATTGGAGCATCAAG